CTGCTAGGGACCCGCGACCAGCGCTCGAAGCCACAAGACAGTTGATCCAGCACACTTGACCATCAAGGGCTTACCTGGATCTTTTAGGTCCGAGGTTTTTCGTGTTGCTATCGTGGATGATTTAAAGAGATTGACACCCCCACGACGAACAAGACGATTGGCTCTTGGTGTAACTGCTTTGGGTGCAGTTGCGCAATACCTGCTTTGGGCTAGTGCCTTTAATTACAAGCCTTGATGTGCGAGTAATTAAAAGCACGACGCACAGTGGCAGCCGATAGTTTCGCTGCGAAGTGTTCGGCCGAACACATAAGGGCTCACGGCGTTCGGCAGGGTTCCGACCCGACCGGCCTTCCAAATAGAGACTGTTGGCTACCCTGTGTGCTTCACCGTTTTTTGATACCATTTCCGCCCTTTCATCGTCCAGTTGAATTAGCTCTGCTAGCCTCCCCTCTACCCATCATCCATCACCCTCGCTATGGCGTAACCCCATGGGTCACGTTTTCAAATTAGCGTATTCTGGGGAGCCTATCTCTTGCGAGGAGGCTCTCCAGAATATCTCCATCATCACTGAGGTGGCAGTCACACACTTTTTTAAGGTCCATAATGGCTTCAAAGTGACAGTTGCCAAGCCCGAACACCTGACCCCATTTCTTTCGGCCGACGGCCAAAGAAAGCTCAAAGATCATGGCTTCTCACCTGTTCCCTCCCCCGAGATGAAGGCTAAGTGTACGATCGTGGCGAAAAAGATCGACAAGACGATCCCCCCACGATCGTGCGAGTCCATCTGCCAGGAGGTTTCCGTCAAGATCGGTGTCACTGTTCTCGACGTTTACAAGCCACCCGAGTCGCGAATCGTCAAGATTCGCGTCTCATCCCCCGAGGAAGCCTAGAAACTTCTCTCTCGGGGACTCATGATGTTTAATACATCGGTCCTCACCTACAACCTGGAACCCGAATACTTCATTCACATCGACCAATGCCTTAACTGCTACCGTTTTCACCACAAAAAAACACCAATGTACACACCCCCAGAGATGCTCTCGGTGCGCCGGCGACGGTCATTTCTTCGCCAGGTGCACTGAAACCATCAAATGCTGCAACTGCGAGGGATCGCATGTCGCAATTAGTGGATCCTGCCCTAAACGGAAGGAAATACTTAAGGGAAAACGAGCTGAGCTCCGCCAAGACAACAACACTGTCCCTTCCTACGCAACAACAGCTGCCACACGACCTGCTCAGACCAGTACACCCAGACGACCCACGACTTCCCCTCGGACAACTCTGCCCACACAACCCCAAACAAGCACCTCACACAAACACAAAACCCAAAAATCCAAGCCATCTTACACGTCTCATTGCTGCCAAATACAACCCAAAAAGATTCGCAAACATTGTCCCTATTATGCTCCAGAGAAACGGCTTCCCCAGCATTGTTGTCCGTGAGGAAATCTTTGAAGACGACAACCTATACATCCCTGAGTACGCCACAACAAACACAGAAACCACAGGAAATGAGGTGACAGACACTCACCCAAAGCCTCATTCTTCCTCACAACACCGACACCTCGTTTTGCAACCTCAGCCACAACGAAGACAAAAAGAAACTGCACAGGCACGCCAAACTACAAATACAACTGATCACAAACGCAAACAAACCACACCACCATCCATGCACACAAAAAAAGACAAGAAGGATCCTCCTGCCCCCGAAGCTCGTCGTCGCAGATTGGATGACACCATTCTTGACGACGACAGTAGCGACTCCGACATCGATGTCGAGAGCGTTCTCGAAGCCGGGCTTGGGCTCTCGGCTGGAGCCATGCTCCCTGCCAGGGGACCCCTGGGACAGCGCGGAAGCATCGGGAATTGGTCCGCCGATTCCCAGGACTTCCCCGCGGGTTCACAGGACTCCCTGCCTGACCTCGAGGAGCCGTCGATCGCGCATCGATCGCGGAGCCGCTACAGGGCTCAGGTTACGCCACGCAAGGTACACCCAGGTAGAATGGGTGTACCTTGAGTGACTAACTGACGCGACCGACGAGCCGACGCGGGTTCTTCCAACTCGGTGGAGGACCCCGTGTTGGCTAGGTCGATCTAGACGCGCAATCCCACGCACGAGCTGCATCTAAACAAAACAAAAACTCTCTCCTTCACACACAAACACCCTACTCTCACCAACAACAAACACAAACTCCAGCTTGTTCTGATGGAATGAAGCACTCAGACGGTTCCCTGTAGTGGGTCGTGACCGATCTATTACACGTCTGAACTACGCGAGGAAGCCTCTCGCTTCCTCCTTAACATCCTGTGGGGTATGTTGGCCTGTAGACAGACCAACAAACTCCGTGCTTGACTCACCAGTGGCTGGATGGACTCACCCTCCATCCTCCGTTCCGGTTGGAGATCAGGTTTAGGTCATGATCTTTTTCTTTGGCATGGGACAGGGAATGATGCAGTTTTCGGGTTTTGCCGCATCACTTTGAAGCCACCTTCTACTCATTCCTTTAAAATTTCCCTTTCCCCTATCCACTCGTTTTGTTCAGTTTTTTCAGTGTTCAGTTTTTCGTGTTCTCTTTCTGTCTGTTTAGTTTTGTTGATGTTTGGTTTTTGTGGTCCTGTACCTTTTAATCTCATTAATAAAGTAATCTCCCCCAGGTACTGCCCTCTCTTATCCCCGTTTTTAAATACCTTCACCTCGTCTCCTGACGCTTGTGACCGCCACCTCACCCCTCACCCTCACTCATACCATATCCCTGCCATGGCGTTGACCCTCATCCTTATCCTTACCCTGACATCCCACTGGTTTCGGTTTCCGACACGTGGCGCTTGCTGCTAGTACTCGTGCCAGGACCACAAATCCTTTAGCGTAAGGGTTTGAGCGAGCCGAGGAAAGAAGCGTCACGGCCAGTGGAGTTAACCAAAATCGTGGTGAGGCCGCCCGAGCCGCGCCCCTCCGGAAGACCTGCGGCCGAGGGAGAGAAATCTCCTCTCGACCCGGGCGGGAGGGGCCAGCCTCTGTGTGGCCTCACTCGAGCTTCATCCTGCTTCAGCGGTGATGGTTAGCCGAGGGACAGCTCTGGAGCCACGGTCGAGAGGCCGTGGCTCCGAGCATACCGCAGATGGCGCCAAAAACCTGCTAACTTCTTTCCCCTCCCCCTCAGTTAGCCGAGAGGCTCCGTGTTCGCCATAGCGAGGCTCCACGCCCCGTGGAAAAATGTGGTGAGGCGAGCCGCGCTCAAGGTCGCGGGGTATTCCCCGCGCCACGAGTCGCGGCCTTGCCCCGCCGCACGATCTCGCGAGGTACGGCCGCGCGGTGAACACGCGAGTCTGCCGATGGCGCTGGGCCCCTCGATCCTTTTCCTCTTTCAACAAACCCACTCCAACTATTACCCCAAGTTTACCCCGCAGGCTGGGTGAAGCCCCGGCTCCTTCTTCTTCTCCTGAAATTCTTTTCCTCCTCCTTATCCTTCTCCTATCCCCACTCTTCCTTCCCCCCCTCTTCTTTACACACTTCTCTTCTCTCATTTGACCGGGGCCCACGGCCCTGACCAGACCTCCTCCCTGGGGGTCTCTCCCCACGCGCGCCCCACTCGGCGCCCCTTGGGTTCCCCTTTGCACCAGCACGACACAACCGCGCCACGCTACCAACCCCTCCTTCAATAAACAGCTGAACCAGAATTGTGTCTCCGTAATCCACCAAATCAAGGCAACACAAAACCCTGACAGAGAGAGTAGGGGGGTGGGGATTGAGAGAGAGAGGAGAGGAAAGAGAGTAGAGAAAAAGAGGAAGAGAGAGGGTGTTGGAGGATGAGAGAGAGGGAGGGGGAGCGAGCGAGAGAGATTCTTCCAATTACAATCCGGCCGCGCTCATGCCCTTTCTTTAAGGAAAACATCCGGTTCCATGTGCTCTTAGCATTCTTATAAACCTCTTTGGGAAAACCCTTTTTAACCTTTAAATCCTAGCATATTCATTGTCTTAGATAGATGTAGGCGCGCTTTTTCCAGGTCGTTGGTGATGGTCGTCGTTACCGGGGTCGTGGCAAGGAGTCACTCAGACGTGTCACTTACCGCGCTTGTTTCACGTTTTTCCTGATTTCGCCGCGTTTCCTGCTTTTTCATGGTTAGGCTAAGTTCTCTGATTTTAAAACAAAGAGAAAGAGCCTACAGTAATTGTCGTAAGGTGTGTAGATGGGCCGATCCTCAGGAGGAGACTGAGGCGCTGGTTCTTTTCTCGCCAGAGATTTTTGGAAAGTACCCAAATGTAGATGGTGCGGCACGGGAAATATGTTCCTAATTTCTATTGCTTTCATTGCAAAACAATTGTTACCTTTTTTCAAGGGGTCAAAAAATCGATACAGTCTATTGCATTAGCTTTCCAAGAACGCCTAAACTTCATTCACTGACATAAAGAAATTTTTTTCCACCTACAAAATGAGAGGAAATTCGGAATTTTACAATGAATACTAAGTTGACTACAAACGTGTCTACAATGAAAGAATAAATAGATTCTAAAATCTACCTGCTCACGGGAATCAAGAGAACTTAGTTATTTTCAACATTTAAATTGGTCAAAAGTCGATAAACTATACGCCAGTGAGGATGCAATATGTTCCTTATCAAGAAAAATGTAAAATCTAATTTGTCTCGCTGTTTTTTTTCTTTCTTTTCTGATATGAACATTAAATGGAATTCTTCCCCTTCAAAGTGAGCCCATTATGATAATGATAATGGTGATATTGGCAATAATTCAAGTAATGGTAATGATAACGATAATGGTCATAGTAGCAATAATTCAAGTGATGGCAATGATAATAGTAAAAGTGCAAGTAATGATAATAATCATCCTGGTAAAAATAATAATGATAAAACGAATTATAATCACAATAAAAACTAGAAGTTATGCTTTAAAAGTTACAAAATACATCTTCTTTGACACCAATGAAGTATTTTTTTTGTTTCACACAGGCCTCCCACCTCGCAAATATTTTCTTTGAATCCGATGATAAACGCTGTAGTATTTGCGAATCTGTTGTCGTTTTCCATCGCATTGTTAGGCCTCAAGTTAACCCTAACAAAAGTCTTCGTTATTACTTTACTTTCGTAATCTAATCAAAGGTTATTCCAGATAGATTAGATATTGTTTTTGATCATTGAAACTTCAGATCAGTGTGGCATCATTCTGCCTCATTATTCATCACTAATTCTGCAAACCGTAAAATGAATTAAATTACTTTATTTCTCATATGTCAATATCACTGATATGTTCATTCATATGTATCATTATTCTTCAAGACTCGTGTATTCTTATTTAATAGATATTATATCCCTCGTGTCTATGTACTTCAAGTGATTTCTATAGTATAAGTGTTGTTTCTTTTTGTTTCGTCTACCACTGTGTTTAGCCCATCCAGTGTCTCTGTGGTGTGGAGCCCTCCTTTGTTCAGTCTCCTATTATGTAGGAATGGCAAAATGGGATAATATTAAACACTGTTTGCAAAAAGAACTTCGGGGGGAAGACGAACTGGAATCTACAGCTAACTTCACACTGATACTCGAGTTAATTTCTGATCAGTTATAATAATTCTTACGGCTAATCACACCGTTTTCTTCAGTCGAGTTCCCGAAGTCAACACCGGTTCACCTTCACGCAATGATGCTCCAAACTGAACTGCCTCCAGGAATTTTAGACCTAGGGGTGCCAGGCCATCTAGACTGAGGCCTGGTTGTTCGGTTGTATGGATGCTGAGGCGGCAGTTTGAGAAGGTGAATTGGTATTTTGGCCCTTACCCCGAGTGAAAGTAACCACCAAAATCGTCCACAGCTACTTCATCTCTACCATAAACACAACTTCTACAACTACAGACTCACTACCACCAAACTCTATTTTGTGGTTTTATTCACTTAGAATTTTATACCATAACTGATTAAGAGTTACGTTTAACCAATTATGGGATTAATGATAGCATAATTAGAGTGTCACTGTTTCTGGCCGATGACAGCAGGAAATAAATGTTTTCGTGTTTCGGAACAAGCTGCTGAAAAATATTTAAGAAATTTAGCTTAGGTTTCATAACATGTACGACAAAAGAAGATGGGCGATGAACAATAATTAACAATACATGTCTAAGAAATGTTGGCAACGCTTAGTGTTAAACTACGGGACGGGAGACGTGCTTCGCCCTTGTACTAAGATTATTTAGTTATCTAATTAATAATTAAGTCGCCTATAATTTGATAAATGCGTGAATATTTGAAAAATAATTATGTACTTACCAAAGTATAAGCTAGCCAACATAAAACCTCAAGCTATTTGTCGTTCACGTATATTTTTACCGTCATTTAAAGATGAATAACTAAAAAATAATGTACATATCGTTATTCTCTATCGAGGTTCATTAAACCTCAACAAACTTGCACGTATGTTCCCAAAAGTTTAGGTATTGCTACTTGATATTTACAGAAAACACAATTTTTTGGGGTGACTAAATCATATTTAGTCTTGTCTTCTCCGCCACGTTGACACTTTGTAGACCCAACACCACTCAGTGGAAATTCGAGAGGCGTTTCATTAATACACTGAATGCAACCTGCCGAACATATTTACGTTATGAAAGTGACAAATCTTAAAATCACGCCTGAATATGGGAACCAATGCTCCACCAGACCATCGAAAGGCATGAGCCAGCGGCACACGCACATATAACGGAGATTTGGCTCTTAATGACGCTCGGAAGACCATCGTCAGTCCGCGTAGTATGAGCCGTGCGATCGCCCTAAATGACCTAAATGACGTGCGCAATGTCTCACGCCAAATAGGTAACTTTTTCAGACGTTTATGTGACGCATTTCTTGAAATCCCAAAAGCCTTTAAATCCGTGTTCGGACATTTATTACAAAAAGAAAATGAATTCGAAGTCTGTAGGTAAAATCACGGCTGTCCAAGGTCTCTCTCTCTCTCTCTCTCTCACTCACTCACTCACTCACTCTCTCACTCTCTCTCTCTCTCTCTCTCTCTCCTCTCTCCCTCTCTCCCTCCCCTCTCCTCTCCCTCTCCCTCTCCCTCTCCCCTCTCCCTCTCCCCTCTCCCTCCCTCTCCTCTCCCCCTCCTCTCTCTCTCTCTCACGCATTTTTTCCTGTTCGCTGTGGACGTGATCCGAAAACGGCCTAAATATGGCCAATATTTTCATATATGTCCTCTTCCCATTCCTCCCTTGAGCTCGCCCCTTTCGACAAAATATCGTTTAGCCGGTTCGCGATACACAACTATGAAGATTACAACGCATTCACCTTGCTTGAGCATTTCGCTTAACACGGCGCACTGCCATTTGGAGTTCACCTATCTCAGTTTCAAAGAAAATTATTATGTTGGGCCATATCAACCGGCTTCTTACAAGGGATCTTTCAGACGACCTTGACCATCGGCGAGTTCCAGACTGAAGTTCTTGGTGGAAGGAAAAGGAACCCACGATATTCGTTATGATTGGACAGGGAAACATAACGTCATTTTCTAACCTGTGATTGGCTAGGAGTTTGATTTCCGCCGTCTTCTTGCACTTGCCAATACGGCAGTTTGGTGATAAATAGTTGTTAAGCAGCAGTTACGGCTTGTTGGCATTTCATGCACGGAACATATACGACATTTTCGTTAACTTATAAACGATGTAGTAGGGTCTAGTTTAGTACTTAACCAAAACACGATATGCATTACGTGCCCTCTACGTTGCGCTCAATAATTACCTGTATTTTAGGCAGATAGTATTCTTATTATAGATTTTATAATATAGATGTAGTAATACATCAAGAAAATAATGGGAATGTGGCGCCTGAAAACAAATATTAAATAAAACCGATACTTGATACATATTTTGTTAACTCCGACCTTAATCGGAGTCGCTCGTATCGGAGCTGTCCGCCCGAAGCGCGTCTGGGGCAGGGCTTATACCTCGCCTGTTCTCGCCTTGGGCCGGATACAGCTTGGCAGCTTCGTAAAAAATATGAAGGGCAGTCTCTTTATATTCTTTGATAAAGAACCGAGAAAAAATATGGAGAGAGATATTCAGTTCTCATTCCAGGACTCTATTTATACTTTTACGTCTCGCTAGAGTGTGCACGGACGCGTCTTTCGGGTCAACAGTGAATTAAATGTGTAAATATCCATGCTATTTTAATGTGCGATAGGCCGTCGTCACTGATTATAATAGTGCCTTTAATTACGAAATTTTCTATTAAGGACATAAGCGTGTCCGCACTCCCGTCTTCTCCGTTGAGGGGCACAATAATATTACTCTTTGTCGCTCTTTCTGTACCCCCGAAGATCCACACTTGGCTCAGCCTCCCGCGGCTGTACTTGCGCCCCCCATTTCTTGGTACCTCGCAGCAGAAACTCCTCCAGTCCACACTCGTAGCACTTGATACATTAATAACAGTTTTGTGATTCCAAATTTTTTGAAGCCAGTGATTAACGAAATTCAAAAATTTGGATGGAGGTCAATGGGTCCCTTGAAGGTGCCGGCGTCATCGCTTGCGGAGTGGGCGCAGCTCCTGCGACCTTTCGCTTCGGCGTTCTGCCAGCGCCCGCAGTACCACAGGCGTTGATTCTCGCGATATCTGCACGGTAAAGGGCAGTGCGGGCACCCTACTGCAGGTGGTAGTACCCCGTGCTTTCTTAAAAATAATGAAGATTTTTCGTCGTCCTTATGGAATTCTAAGTAATTCCAACCACACCCTCATACTTCTCCATGTTTGCACTGGTTTTTCGCTATACACTTCCCCGCGAAGTAACATGTGGAATTCAGGGTCGAATAAGAAATGTCTTGCCACTTGTTTTTGCACAAAATCCGACCTGGAAGGGGGGGGGGGGTGAAAGGGTCCAAGTACTTGTCATTAAAGAAACTACGTACATTGTGGAGTGACTGTGTTATTTATGCACCAGCAGGGCCAGGCTTGTGGTAATACCGTACGGTGCGTTTTTCACTCTTTCAGGGGATGTCTTAGCGCCAAGGATAGGTTACGTATTACATTTAAGGTTTACATTCTGGTCTGTTCTGACGATGCTTTCAGGAATGAAAGGTACTCATGTCGTGAGTTTATTTTTTTTTTGTTTCCAGGTAACTCTTCAT